CCCCCCCCCCCCCCCCACGAAACCAAAGACAACGCTGAAGATCACGATAACATGCCGGCTACTGTTTTGGGCGAAGCACAACTCACAACCTACTGTACAGGGAGACTATGCGATGTCAGCGATTGAAAAATGTAACTTTCCACCACTCCCGGTCTCCTGATCCCGAAAGTTGCACAGAGGTCCATGGCTTCCATGGCTTGGAATACCGTATAACATCTGACCGACTGTTACCATGCTTACGAGGCGATGCGAAGTTGCACCGCCTGCAAAAGTCACCAGAAACGCAACTCCCACAAACCCAATTCCAGCGACTGTTGGCATTTTGACATCGCGGCCGCGACCATCCTCCGAAGACGACGACTGCCACTCGGATCGCGCCCTTAACAGGCTCGATCCCCTGTTGTCGCAAAGAACCCTGGGAGAAGGTAGGCAGGGGGATGGCATCGGGTGGGGGGGGTAGCAGCCCGGGGCCCGAGATCATAGATCTATGTGTATAGGTGTATTTATATATGATAATAAGTGAAGAATAGCCTGTTAAAACAGCCGGCGACGGCCAAACACTCCTTTGTTCTCAAGGTGGCGGTTTTGTGCGGGAGTCTGCAGGATTGTCGGGTTGGCGGCTGGATTGACCTTGAACCTTCTTGCAGCTCTTTTGTCGGAATTTTATCGCTTGGCTAGCGAGCCCCCTCTCGTCGTGCAGCCGCTGAAGGTCCGCCCCACATTACCAGATGGGCTGTGAACTTGTGCTTTGATGCCTTGAGCTTGAGCCAGCCATCTCCAGTTACTTTGAGGCTCGAGGGTCAAGATTGGTGCAGGGCTTTTGAAGGTTTTGACACGTTTCTTCTTTATGTATGTATGTATGTATGTATGTATGTATGTATGTGTGTATGTATGTATCTATGTATGTATGTACGTATTTGTATTCGTATATACATCTAATTATACGTAGCACTGATATACACCTGAATCTTGAAGAACTCAGAACCTGCTATGAACAAACATACTCGATGCAATTCTCGAACGTTCTCGAACCATCATCAGAATCCGAAGCTGTCCGTGCAGGGGCTGTCGACCAGGGCGGCCTTCAAGTACAGCCACTAGCAAACAAAAACAGGAAGCACGCTCCCTTAGAAGGGTTACGGCAAGCCAAGAGCAGGGTTTGCAGGTTAAAAGGCAAGAATCGGAGGGAACGGGGGCAGACGGCAGCAGCCCGTGCTGGACCCTTGAAGTTCTTTTTGCAATCCAGGAGCTCAAGATCTAAGACCTCGTCGTTCTTGGCCTGGATAAAGAGGGTCAGAGAGAAAGACGGAGAGAGAAAAAGAGTGCGAGCAAGCGAGCGTGAGAGTAAGCCAGGCTGTCGGTGGTAAGACAGGAACTCCAACCAAGATTGGCGCAAACGAAGCTAAAGCTTTGGTCAAACACGCTTCTGCTAAATGACACCCAGCGGATGTTGGAGTGACAAAAGCACAGTCGTCTTCCCAATGCGTAGTTGCTGACCAAAGTAAGATGTTTGCACACGATCTCGATGGTCAGGCAAGGGCCGTGAGAGTACCACGTGCCGACGTAGCATGTCAACCTGCGTTGACGACTCGCAATGGCAATCCTGATTGTTAGCTAGAAGCTCGCGACACAAACATCGCGACTTCTCAACCGCTAGCTCCCCCTTTATAGTGTTGAATTTCCCACGTTCCTCACGCATCGTTTGTCGCATGAAATTTCACCCAACCTACCACAGTGATTGAATGTGTCCAGGGCACACAGCTGTGCTTCAGAACGGGGCTCGATTGCAGCTTGGCTGCCTGGACCAGGAAACTGCATGTGCATGAGTAGTACGCAAACATAGCATACATTCCCATATCTATCTATATATATATATATATGTACACATACATACATGCACATGGGAACTACGATCACACCGAGGATAATGATTTACACTCTCACAACTCGATGATAATGTTTTAGTTTTAGACGCTTTGCCGGAACCCTGAAGCCCGACATTTGAATGCAAATGGTATGGACCCATATATCCATGCCATGCAGGCACCGCAATGCATACTTGTAGCTGCCTTTGCCATGTGTGAGAGTAGCCCGCACCACAGGTACACTCGGATAAAATCATGTGATACCAGGTGCTCTCTCAGAAAGTGGTGAAATCCTTCGGAAGCCAGTGAGGGATCAATCTGTAAAGCAATAATTATATAGGCGAGCACAAATTATCCGGCTCTGCTCTTCCGGACCTCGAATATCCGCACGATGCCATCGGTGCCGCCAGTAGCCACCAAGTGGCCGTTCGGAGAGCACCTGGGTCCAACCCGCGGTGCGCCGCAAAGAGGGGCAAGAGATCAAGCTTAGAGCATGGCTTAAAGCGCTACGGTAAATACGACATATGATGCACTATGGTCTTGTACATTCGAAGACATGGATGTCATGTGCATGCATACGGTGCCGGCCAGTTCCCGGATGCAGCAAGGTCTACAGATCCACCTATCCGATTCTATAAGGATACGCATATACATCTACACACGAAGAGACGCAACACACACATGCATCTATATATCTGTAGATATGTATGTATGTACGTACGTACTCATGTACGCATGTATGTATGTGCATATGTATGCATGTATGTAAGTACGTATGTATGTATGCGAGTGTGTAGGTATGCAGATATACCCTTACATACCTGCACGTCTCGACGCGAGGACCTTGCGGCATGCGTATTACCCCAAAACTTTTGAGACCGAACGCTCGAGTCAAAACTCAGAAGCGTGCCTCGCGACGTTCGTGGAAGGGGGCCTCAGCTGGATTTGAAGGGGGAGCCTCAATACCTAGAATAGGGTTTCGGGGTAAAGTATACTAGTTGTAATTGGATTAGGAGCCCTTCAGCGTGGTATTGTAGAGCAGGGCCATTTTTGCGGGTTCAGCAGCCTCAAACAACGGTTTCGAATCCATGTGTGGTGTGCGTGGTGTGGGAGACTCTCACAATCCGCTTTAGGGTTTGAATAAAAGGGCCGGAAGAAGTATTACGGTAATAGTGCACTCGTCAGTCCCTAGCTAGCCTCTGTCTAGTATGCATGCGCATAATGCGCAGCCCTGTGAAGCAAAATTACAGCCTTGACTTGCTGGTCCTGCACAGCATGGTGGAGAAAACTAGGTTCTATCTCAAGCCCTGTCATGGCTTCTTTGCAGCCAAAATAGATGTCAATACAGGTTCTGACGAAACGTAATATTACCTCACTATGATGGGCAATGATGAAAACCCACCTGGGATTCTTGGAGCAATCCCACTTTTGCAGACAGTGGTGCTTGCCGGTCTCCTCCGTTTCCCACTCGCAGACTTCTGTCAGGGTGTTCTTTTCGACCTCGCGTGCGCTTTACGCTTCGCTAATACTGCTAACTGAATTTCGCTCAGTTTCTACTTCTTTTTGCCTCCCGCCTAGCTGGGACGAAGCGCTTAATTGTAGGGTTTAGGCTTCGACTTTAAGACTTTCGGGCAAGTCAAGACTCAAGAAAGTGTCAGGCCCAAGCTGCCGAGAGCTGCAAAACTTTGCAGCCACGCCCAACGCAGCCCAACCTGCCATGGGGTGTTCGCTTTTCTCCAGAACCTATTGAAATGAAGGCCGGCTCGATCTGAAGTATACTCCCTGCGTGTCTGATCCCTTCGGCTCTCCTTCCAGAGCTGCCTAACCTTTATGAGGAGATGATGGGTACAAGCTCGGCTGACAGCGCCAGGGCTGCCCAGTTTAGGATGCAAAACCACCATCGGGTGTGTGAGGCGACCTTTTGAAGCTCTAAAGCTTCCGAGAAGCCACAACTCCAACGCCGGTGCATAGGACAGCGCCACAACAACACCTCAGTCTGCTTCTGGTTGGACACTGCCGCATTCCACTAACTTTCATATCGCCCAGTATAACCACCACCCCCCAAGTAACTAATATGCCTGGGGAGTCCCCTACCACCCGAAGACACCGAAGAACAGTGGGAGATGTATCCCTACATAATATACTCTGACCATCTCCTACAATGAGTAGCTTCATCGTCATGCAAGACGACAATACCTTTGAGCCTCAGCGTCTTTTGGCGGTGTCCAAGGATGCGATGGTGCTCATCTGTCCAGTCGTCTCATCATAGCGATGTGCCTCTCTGGGTTCGAGTGTTTAACATGGGAGATTGGGGAGGCAAGCCAAAAGTGTCCGAACGACAGGTAAATCAAACTTGACCGGGCTTTCAATAGTCTCTTGTAACTCCTTGGGACTGCATTTTCCGACTGCTGTTGCTCCTTGCCTAACATCTGCGGACTGGGGCAAGAGGACTTTGGCTCGCTTCGCACACGGATATAGGTTGGTTCGGCACTCTGGTTTGAAGAGCATTTTCTTGCAGGTTTTTGTGGTTAACACCCTACGCCAAACGAAGCCCCATCCCTGCCTGCACGACATTGGGGACTTCTTTGGCGGCCGTCGCTCCACCACCACCGCAGCTAAGGAAAATCCTTGGTGCGTCGGTAGACGCAGGGCTAGGCCACACCGAGCTCTTGCAATGCCCAAGCGCTTCTAGTCAAAGGCAGAACTACGCAGGATCCCAGGAGATGCAAAGGACCCCGAAACCCTTGGCATCTCCACCATGAGCGACTCTTCGTGGCACTGAGTGTTGCTTTACACATGCGATGATTGGCTATGATGGGTACAACAACAGTATGCGCATGTATACGCCATAGTTGCTAGAGCTGCTAGAGCTCGCTTGCGTTCAGTCGCCAAGGGTCTGCCCGCCATCGCTAGCGAGGCCTAAAACGGGAAACGGCGGGTAGTAGGTGCCTCGGAAAGGCGAGAGGCCACCGAAGCAGCGAACATTCCGTGGTAGCTGCGCAGGAAACCAGAGGCGCAACTACGTTTGGGGTCAAGGGACTCAAAGGAGGCTCACATTAGTAGATGCAACCGGCTCACGTTGCAGTCAGCTGAATCGAGATCGAAACCGCAAAGGATTCTACTTCCCGTAGTCCCACGACTGTTTCCCCGACTTCAACAAGGAAGCAGAAGCAAGCCCGGCTGAGGTCAAGGCCACCTTTGCCCTCCTGGAAAAAAGGAAAATCGGGTTGGTTTGGCGGCTCAGGGTGTGTTGTGTGCGGGATGAGAGAGCTCAGGTTGACGATGGTTTAGGGAGTCGTGCTCTCGGATTGCATGATTCTGCAACGGTAAACAGTGATGGCTATGACATGAGGCAGTCCATATGGAGGCTGCTGCGAAGTGCTAGGCTGGGGGCAGAGGGCTCAAAAACAGGATCCACATCAAATAAGCGTAGCAGCACGGATCAATAAAATAACCCGGCCCAGTGCGGCTCTTCTTTCTTTTGCAAAGAGTGCAAACTCCCGCATATGCTACCTGCTACTGTTCCAACACTTCAAATGCTGTCAAGTACAGCATGTCCAAAACTCCTGCCGGTTCACAGACCAACAACGTCATTCCCAAGCTTCAGTTGTCGTGTATTGCAGCAAATTTCGGGGTCTTCAGAAGTTCCAAAGCTGTGGAAGTGTTGTCAACGTAGTAGCAATGGTAGCAGCAGCGGCTTCAGCAGCAGCAGCAGTCTGTAGTAGTAGTAGTAGTAGTAGTAGTAGTAGTAGTAGCAGTAGTAGCAGTAGTAGCAGTAGTAGCAGTAGTAGCAGTAGCAGTAGCAGTAGCAGTAGCAGTAGCAGAAGAAGTAGCAGTAGCAGTAGCAGTAGCAGCAGCAGCAGGAGTAGTAGTAGTAGTAGTAGTAGTAGTAGTCCTCGTCGTCGTCGTCGTCGTGGTGGTAGTAGTAGTAGTAGTAGTAGTAGTAGTGGT